TAAAAGTGACTAAACACTTTAAATGGGTGAAAAGTAGTATTTAGCTGTCAGCTTTCTGCTGTGGTGGAAGAAAACTTCATCTGAGCTCATGGTTCTTTCCTGGAGTATCCCCATCTAATTATTATAGACAGATGAGTTAGGTAGAAATATTATAGGCAGTCATGTAGGGCTAGGTCCTCGAGAGGGTTAGGACAAAGGTGAAACACACCACAGCTGTGACCCGAGACATATCAGTTGGAAATCAGATCAATAAATTGGTGTTAAGTCATAAAATAATTCTGTTAAGGTTATGTTGGAGCTGGTAAGGGCGGAAAAGAACTATACTTTCTCTAGACTGATTTTAAGACTTGCCAACTGGGAGATTATGCCTGGGGCCAGATTCTGTGGGGGCTTGAGCAAGGAGGGTAGAAGATAAATTTGGATAGAAGAGTTTACTGATGTGAGAGAATTCTCCTCTGACACAGGGTAAAATCATACCCTGACAAGGATCTGAAAAATAGTGTAAGCACGGTATAGGAAAAAGAAGCCTGGAAAAAGCAACACTCATACAAAGTGAGCTGAAATGACAAAACTGATGTGACAGACAGCCTTTCGAACTAGAGAGGGAAAAATATGTTCAGCAACTCTTCTCTCTTGCCCACTTTGACAGTAAATGACAAGTGCAGCATTCTTGACCTATTCTTGTTATTTCTTTATCATTCTCAAGATCTCCAAATCAGTCAAGAGGATGCAGATTGGTGCTAAGACTAGTAACCCAAGGATGGCCCATAGGGCACTACAACTGAGAGACCCCACCCTTCAGGGGTTTGCTGGTAGTTACAGTAGTTATACCCCCTGCAGTGCCCTCACCTCCCACCACCCCAGTGCCAATCAGAACAATATCCTTGTACCTAACAGCTCTCCAGATTTTGGCACCCCATTATGCAGCACAACTTGTATATCTACCTGACCAGGAATTGGGTTCCATCATCTGCAAGGACAAAGTGAAACAGAAGAAAAGGAGGCAGCTGAGCATCTATATGTGTGACCGTCAGTTTCAGGAGAACTGTTTTTCTCTGATAACAAGAGATGATTTTTGCTTAGGAAGCAATCTCTGAGCTTTCTTATTCTGCCTCAGTCTATATCATCTATTGATTTGCAGGTGCCAGCGAAGCAGCTATTTTGATACACAAAATCAGCAATAGGTGAGGTTTTGATACCACTCGGACTTCCCTTATCTGGGTGAATGTTGCTGTTGGGTTTGTCAGGCTCAAATTGTTTGCATTTAGATGAGCTGAGTGACTCTAGCCCATGCAGCAATTATTCTCTGATCATTTGTTTTAAACTCCACAGCTTTCAGTCATCTCAATTCCCATGGACAGAATAGATGTTCACTGTGGTTACAATTTAAGGATGATCAGGAAAGCACCTTCATTTCTTCTCACACTAACTGGCCTCCTATATTCTCTCAAACGATGCTAGCAACACATTGTAATAAAACACTGTCATAACTCTATGACTGGGATCTAAAATTGTCGTTCTGTATAATGCAGTGCTGCTTTGATGCACAGTTCCAGACAGGTACTGGGAAAGCCTGCTGTGAGGACTGACATCAATCTGTCATCCCATTATATTGGAGTTTGGGTGATCACAAGAATGTGCTGTCATTGAGCTCAGTGTTCAGCAAGCTGGACTCTTGGGTTACACATTAAATTCTTTCTGTGTTTCTCATTTAGTGTACAAGATCCCGTCATACTCTCTGCTCCATGTCAAAAGAGTGGAAACCATTAGTATAACAAGGGAAGACCATGAATAAGAGACTGCATGGAGGGAATAGGGAAAGGAAAGGGAAGAAGCTCAGCAAATAAGGATAAACATTTTTGGCTGAAACACTTGGATCACATAGAAGACCACAACAGGTGTTGAAAATAGTCTTGAACCACTTGCCAAAGGTCCAAGTAGGATCTTAGAAAACCAGTGTTGTGATCTGAGACATGACCCTAAGTGTTTTTTTATCTCAAAGTCCTTTGTAACATGCAAGGAACTAGGCCTGCCCTTCCTAACTCCCCAGCTGATTGTGAAATCTAAATTTTTATTTCAGAAGATTTTCTGCTCTGCCCCAGGAAACCACTCAGTTGTTTTAATCATGTATTATAAGCATACAAAAATCCTACTTCAAAATCTACAAGAGTCCATAGAACTGAATCAGTATTTGTCAGCCATATCCAGAAGCCAAGGTGCTTCTGTTTGGCAATTTGCATGGTAAATTCTTGGCACTCCCTAGGATATGCTGGTCAAACACACTTTTTTAGTGGAATCGTGTTATTTTACAAAAGGGAGTAGTTGATCCCGATGATATTGAGCTGTGATGTTCTGTAACTTTTGAGTTTCTTTTTGGTTACCTTCCTGCCGAGAAATACTTCTCTGCAATTATGAAATTCCCCAAGTTTAGAGGAAACCAATGTCAGCCAAAAACAGACCATTCCATTCCTTCTATTTTTCCTATATTAATATCCACAGTTGGCTATTCACTGGCAAAACTGATAAAATTTTGTATTCTCTTTTAAATAAGTACATTTTGTTTTACCAAAAATGAAGTAAAGTATGGTCTCAGACATGCACTACTTTGTGTGTGTGTGTTTTCCATTTCAATCAAGAAAAGTAATCACATGATCAAATAGTAAAAATGAACAATAATAGCCAAGAGGTGTTAACTCATAGGTACAGCACATATTTCACCGCCTAAGGTCCTATGTTTGATCCCCAGCTCTAAGAAAAAACAATAGTAATAATACTTTGAGCGTCTTCTCTATTCCAACTACTATGCTAAGAAATAACATGTGTACTGTTTTGTTTAATTTTTGTAGTGAAACAGTCAGTATGCATATTCTCATTTTGAAATACTGAGATTTAAGTATTGATAAGGTTTTGTGTGCTAAGCAGATCCAAGATTCAAATCTAGCTTTGTCTGATGTTGAATCCCAGATTCTCAATTTCTTTGCTCATTTATCTTCACCTGAGGGTGTCTAATCTGAGGAAGATACACTGTACACTGGGTATAGAACAGTGAGTAGGAGTATCCATGTCTCCATCGAGGTCCACTTAACAATTGGATGAGAACTATAAAAGCTGTTATTGAAAAGCACACAAGAATTAAATTGACTGCTATAGTTTTTCATAGAAATAATAAATGTTATAGTTTGAGGTGAAATATTTTAAACAATAAAATAATGATACATGGTATATTGACTTTAATAAGGCATCAGGCAATCTTTCATAAAACTTTTGAGAGTTGTGGACATAATGTATAAATGATAATGTATTTTGGAGAATTCAGTTGATTGAACTCTCACATTAAGCTTGTCAATGCCAAGCTGGAGCAAGGTGAGCCATTGTCTTTGCCCCTGATGTGCTCAAATCTCCTTCCTTCCTTCCTCCCTTTTTTCCTCCCTTCTCTCCTTCTTCTGGTACTGGAGATTGAACCAGGACCTTCACTCTCTCAGAGTACTAGGATTATAGGCATAAACGATCATGCCTAGCTTGTTGTATCTTTTAACAAAACCTTAGGTTGTAGATTTGTTTGGCACACAATAAATCTGTGACTGGCATAAGATTTTAAGAAATAATTGACATAAGATTAAAAACTAGCAAGGTAATCATTACTGAATGTAAGGTAAAGCTTTGAATTTAGGCTCAGGAAGTCATTTACATTTTGTACCTGGAAGATACTAATAGCTGTTAATGATGAAAAAGAGGGGAGAGAAGAGAAAAGGAAGAGGGAGAGAGAGAGAGGGAGAGAAACGGTATGTTCAAATACAATGATTACAATGATGAGGCTGCAGGTGGGGCAGGTGTGACCACAGCCTCCATTAATGGAAGCATCTTACTCAGATGGATGAAGGTAGTTTTCCATGTACTCAGCGCCTTGGCTGTACTCTTTAAAACCATACTGCAACAGTTTGGCGTGTCTTCCTTTAAATGAGATAGTGACCAAACAGTGAGATTCAGTGGAGACAATATATATTAGGGCTTACAATGTGCCAGGTTATATCCTGGGTGATTTCACATATGTGTCATTCAAACCCTACGGTATCCCTGAAAAGCACTTTTGAAGAAAGATGTGATGACCAAACCTCAGAAGGTTAAGTAGTTGTTTGAGGTAAAGCTGAGATTTGATTTTAGGTTGGTGTCATTTCAAGGCTCATCTCATAGCTGGGCGTGGTGACGCACACCTGTAATCCCAGCACTTTGAGAAGCTGAGGCAGAGGGATTGCAAATTGAATCCCAGCTTGGGCAATTTAGAAATTTAAGGAGATTCTGTTTGGGGCTGGGTGAGGCTAGAGACACAGACCAGGGCAAAGGCCCTGGGTTTAGCCCCCAGGAAGTAATTAAAAACAAATCAAAACAAAACAGAAAACTCATTTCATTCCACTACATCACTACCCCAGAGTCCTAAGGAGCACTAAACACTGAACTGATGACCTGGAGGAGAAAATAAACAGGGGCAGGGAAGAGTAAAGGGAAAGTGACTTAACATCCATCAGGCACCTACTATTTGCTAGACATTTTTCGCACATAGTTTTTGCTAATACAACAACTCAACGAATAGTGTTGTGACCACTCCCATTTTAATATGAGGAAAGCAGTGTTCAAACAACTAAATAATTCACCTACAAATACCTAGTAAGTAAGCGGTAGAATCAGGATCAGGCTGCTCATTGTTTGACTCAGTGACTGTGGTTTGTCACTTATTACATATGGCATCTCTGTTCATTTCACCTTGTATATAAATCTATGTTGTAATGTATTTTTCTTTAAATCTTGATTTTTTGAAACAAACTCAATATTTAACTTGAAAACTTTATACAAAGCTATGAGGAACCAGCTATTCCAAATCTATAAAAGGAAAGCCATCACTTTTTGCCATGAATAGGAAGCCATAAATATAAATACATTATAAACAAAATAATGCTATTGAATCCTAGCTAGAGAAAGTTGCTTCCAAGAGTCCTGTTAAAAAGGGAAATTAGGCACAGCCGGAGGGCAGCGGGGGCCTCGCCCCCCACGGGCGTCTCGGGCCAGGCTTCCTCCTTCCAGCGCGGCCTCTGCATCCTCCCTGGCCCCAGCGGGGCCTCCCGCGCTCACGGGACGCGTGGACTCCGCGCCGTGGACTCAAGCCGGGCGACGCCGAGCGGAGCCTCCCGGGAGAAACCCGGCGTGCGTAGGAGACGGTGCCAAACGGGAGCTGCTGTTCCTGACCACTCTGCCGGAAGTGGGGAGGCTGGCAGAAGAGAAGCACTCTCCTGGGGAACGGAAGCTGACAGGGAAGATGTTTGTGGATAGCCGGCCTGTCCAGCCCCTGGTCTACCTGGAGTTCATCCGGAATGTCTGCAGGGATGAGGCCTCGAGGAGCCTCTCGCACACAGCCATCTCCAAGTTTGTCCTGCACCGAATATTTGTCTGCGACAAGCACAAGATTCTTTTCTGCCAGACTCCCAAAATGGGCAGCACACAGTGGAAGAGGGTGCTGACTGTCCTCAATGGAGCCTTTCTATCCATTGAAGAAATCCTGGAGAACGTGGTGCATGACCGCGAGAAGAACGGCCTCCCACACCTCTCCTCCTTCAGTGAGGCCAAGATCCAGAAGCGATTAAAAACACACTTCAGGCTTTTCATCGTAAGAGATGCCTTCGACCGACCCATTTCTGCCTTTAAGGACAAGTTCGTGCACAATCCCCGATTTGAACCGTGGTGTAGGCATGAGATTGCCCCGGGCATCATCCGGAAGTACAGGAGGAACCGGACGGAGACCTGGGGGATCCAGTTTGAGGATTTCGTGCGCTACCTGGGCGACACGAACCACAGGTGGCTTGACCTTCAGTTTGGGGACCACATCATCCACCGGGTGACATATATGGAACTTTGTGCACCCTGTGAGATCAAGTACAGTGTGATTGGACAGCATGAGACGCTGGAAGAGGATGCCCCATACATCCTGCGAGAAGCTGGCATCGACCACCTGGTGTCCTACCCAGCCATCCCTCTGGGCATTACCGTGTATAACAGAACCAAGGTCCAGAACTACTTCCTGGGCATCAGTAAACGGGATATCCGGCGACTGTATGTGCGCTTCGAGGGAGACTTCAAGCTCTTTGGGTATCAAAAATCAGATGTTTTGCTAAACTAATGTGTAGGATCTGTGAATGCAGAGTCTTTATTAGTGCAGGGATAACCAGGAGAGATCTGAGCACAGGAATGACTTCTCGGTCACACCTCTGCTTAAGAGACTCCCCGGATGTCTGGTCCTAGGAGCAAGTGAAGTTGTACCCTGGCAGCTCTGCCTGGCTTAGGTGTAAGATGCTGAGGGCTCCACCCACGCAACCTGTATCAACAGGACACCAGTGGCCCTTGCCATTTCCCAGAAGAGATGTGACACAGCATTAGGAGTTGTCTAAGTGGGAGTCATACCTGTGGCTGTCCTGGCTAGACCCAGTGGTCGCATCAGTCACTGGTGGATGGCAGGAACAAAGAGCACCAAACAAAGGAGAGATGGAGAAACTGAGACACAGCAAACACTCCCATGGCTCGTGCAGGATCAAATCTGGGTCATGGAATGACACCTCTGGCTCCCTTTTGGGACTGCTGTAATTATGAAGGCAAACTGGACTTCCTGTGGCCATCGGTTCCAGTGACAGTGGTGACCACAGAGTGGTCCCAGTGGTCCATTTGTTCAGAACCACGCCGTGTGACACTTGCCCTCATTTCTGAAGCTTTGTGTGCCAAGCACCTCTTTCATCCAGCATAGTTTTGGTACATGAGGAGGGAGTAGATTCTTTCCACCTGAGCAGGGGACACCTCGGGGTCCAAAAAAGAACATGGCGAGGGAGGCTGCTGTGGATGGGCCCGTGTCCTGCCTGCACACCTCCTGTCTTAAGTGACTGTTGCGGTGGGCAGCAGGGCTCCCCACATCTCTCCCCACCATTTGCTCTCCTCAGAGGAGAGAACTGAACATCTGCTGTCTGACAGAGCAACTGGAGGAAACCAAACATTGGGGGCAGCATGGCAGGCTCGTGGGATTCATTTGGGCTTACCCGTCTTAGTGTCTTCTCATCTCCACAAGGTGGCTGCCCCTAGGCCCTTTTATGATCATGCCACCATCCTGGATGAAGTGGCCAGGAGTTGGGTAACCAAGTTCACCAGCAATAAACCCTCCAGTGAGGTGCCTTCTGGGCACAGAAGCAGCCCTGCTGATGAGTGAGCCACTGTGGCTGTTTCAGACCTGGCTGACAAAGGTGACAAGACAGCATCCCCAAGAGTTGGTGGCGCTCACATCTGTACTATGCCTGTGAGCCCAGGCCTGGGAGAATGGAGCCAGGCCTTTCTTAGAGGCTGCCTCCCCCTTCTCAAGATGGCTTCCTGAATTTATAAATGTGAAAGTGAAATAAAATGTAAAATATGTGCCAAACCAGATTCGTGCTGCAGCTCCAGCGAAAGGTGCTCTGGGCCATACGTGAGACCCCAGGTCTGGCAGTAGGGACAAGACTGTGGACAGGAAGCGGGACACGGCCCTTCAGGCCCTTTATCCTTGACTGTTGGGCCAACAATGTGTTGTTATTTTTATACAAAGTTTTGGTGAAGTCTTTCTCTTTTTTTTTTTTTTTTTTGTACCGGGGATCGAACTCGGGTCCTTGTGCTTGCGAGGCAGGCGACGGAACCACTGAGCTAAATCCCTGGCCCAATGGTAAAGTCTTGTTATCATTTTGGACCTGATGAGCTGATTGATTACCTCTTTCTTGTATGAAAAGTCACAGTGTGAGAAATGTATGTGAATTTAAGGCCTTAAAGCTATTCCTAATTAAAATAACATTTTCTCTCAGAAAAAGTAAATAAATAAATAAATAGGGAAGTTAATAAGGTTACAGATATGTTAAAGTCTCTGTTGAAAAGAGGAAATCTGTTGAAAAAGGGAAGTTAACGCAACATGTTAAAATCTCTGTTGGAAAAGGGAACTCTTTGCTGTGTTGAAAAGAAATTAAAAAGTACTTTGTTTCTGTGTTTCCCTTTTCTCATATTTATTCCTTTCTCTTCTTTCCTTTCCCCTACCCCTCCCACTTCCCCTTCCCCTGTGAAAAGTCTTTGTAAATAGGGAGGGGTAGAGGGGGTGAAGGGAGGGCAGGGGAATGGGGAAAAAATAAGAACCAAGATACATCATGTACAGATACAAATTCCCAATGATGAATGTCGTCATATTGTATACCTAAAATGTACCAATAAACTTAATGAATTAAAAAAAAAAAAGAAGAAATCCACAAGGTTACAGAGATGTTGATGTCTCGGTTAAAAAAGTCTCCTCTTTCTACTGAAGAGGGAAATTAACCAGGCTATGGGGATGTTAAAGACCTTTAATAGCAAACTCAGCCTATCTTCTTGATATAGGAAGTATTAAACTATTCGAATGGAAACGTTAGCCCTGTGTGTTTCTGTGTAACTCAGTGCTGTTTAATGCAGTGTCTGAGATGGCCGAGATCATCTCCTGAACCCTCAACCTCATCTCATACTCCCCAAGTCGTTCACGTCTGATATTTTCTACTACACACTGCCATTCTTCCTAATTGCCTTGTACTTTAGTGGGATGATGGCTCTGGGGGAAAGGGGGAAAAACACAGATTTGGGGGCAATCATCAGCATTTTCAAATCCAAGGAGACCAACATGTGCAGGTTTCTTTTTCCTTGATCCAGAAGGCCAAATGAGGACAAATTGTGCAACATTTTGAAATGCAATTTTTGGTTCAATACAAAATAAACATTAAAGCCAGCAGAGGAAGTAGCTATCACTCAAAGATCTGAGTTCTTTGCCTTGGAAAATTGATAGCAGATTATCTTCCAAGTATAAAATAAAACAAATGATTTTATTGATTAGGGGACTGGTGTCAAACCTAAGATCCTTTTCAACTCTACCACTTTCTAAGATTTCATAGTATTCCTAGTAGTTCAAAAAGCACTGAACCTTTAGGATCTTGTAGCTGAGGATTAACGCCCCCAGAAAAAGGTTTCTCAACCTCAGCACTACTAACACTGGGATAGATAACTCTGTGATGAGGGCTGTCCTGTGCATCACAGTGTTACCGTGAATCAACTACCAACCTGTTAGATGTTCTGAGTTTGTGTGTCAGGACTGCTAAGAAGGGGACTGGAGGATAAAGGAGGTTAAGAATAAGAAAAGTTTATGAAAAGAATGTTCCTGGGAGGGAGGAGAGGTTCTGAAAGCGGGTGCCGCTGAGGCTGTCTGGGGGTTTTAATGCAGTAAAATCACCTCATAGTTACCTTAGGTCAAACTGTAATGAACCTATAGGCTTACAAGGACAGTCACTTAGCTAATATTGATCTAATAGAAAAAGTATGTAGCAAGGGTGCACTTAGGCGTTTCTGGGAGGAGAAGAACAAAGGCATTTCTGGGGGTGTAGGAGTGGGTATCAGAGTGTTCTAGCTACGTGTTTGTTATGCTGCTTCTATGTGTTTATGACGCTGTCCAGGCCTATTAGCTTTGAGCTGCTGTTTATCTTTGGGGAGACTTGCAGGCCCAGCCATCCTCTCTCCATCTTGAGGCCCAGTTTCTGTCGGCTCAGCCTTCAACCACAGGACTGGTTTGACTAATCTCTGTTCTGACTGTATCCTGGGCCTCGCCCCTTTCTAACTGCCTGACTTAGCTACCTGCCATAATAAGTTGTTTAACAGCTTTCTGGGCCACTACTCCATTCAGTGTTAGTCACAATCTTGAATTATGACAACCAAAAATACCTCCTGACATTGTTCAATGTCCCCGGGGGAGCAAAACTTCTCTCAGTGAGACTCACTGCCTCAGAACCACATCTCTCTATGCAGCTACTCCTCTGAGACAGGAATCAATGAGAAGTTCCCTAAATATGAGTACCTCATATATACTGTCACCATTGTAGTTAAGGGATCTAATAAGCATCTCTGGAATGTCTACAGCATACCAGACACTGTGTTAAGCACTGTAGCTGAAGTACTAAGGGAGGCAGACACAGTCCTCACATAGGGGTTTGTTAGGGTTGAGGGGGAAGAGAAAATCCTGCATATAATTTCTTATAGTGGCCCATGTGCCTGCCTATTTTTACCATTATCTTGTAGCTTCTTGAGGGGTGAGCATCATGACTTTTTAATCTCTTGATTCCAGGGCCTAGCAGAATGCCTGGAATACAGAGGTACTCAATACTTTTTGCTAGCTAAACACAGGAGAATGTAAGCGATTCGGTAAAGTCAGGGAGTGTAGCACATCTGGTACATTAAACAGCAATTATAACAACAAAACTGACCATATTTAATTGGGGAAGGAGAGTTTATATTATTAAATTTTTATTATTTTATTATTAAATTTTTATTATTTTATTATTAAATTTATCTTGTGATCCCCTCATATCATTGTATCTTTCTGTGAGTTTCATGGTATATTGTTTTAATAAACATAGTCCTTCATCCTCACACATCTAAATACAGTATCTACAAATATGGATCATGCTACTATAATTTCACTCTTTCTAGCACCTTACCTTATGGTTAATCAGCAAAATTTTGATGACTAGAGGGAATCAAAGGAGGGCTTTGTAATTTGGCTCATTCAAAGCAGACATTTTTGGTATAGTTGATTATGAAATCAAATGTACTGATTTAATAATGAAATTTTATAGGATGGCATGAGAGGTAGGTGAAGATTATAAAGATCAATGATAAAAATTCACATTGACGAATTGACATTGTAATGTATGTTCTAGGTTATTGAAAGATTTTTCCATTGAAATAACCCATCAAAATGTTACGTATCTGGAAATGACTGTAATTAACCAAGAAGAAGAGAAACTCCTTATAACCCAAAATGATAATGTCTTCTTCTAATTATGGTGAGCAAATCTCTGACCCAAATTCTTGTATTTGTGTCTGAGATCTAAGGTAAAAGAAGTCTGTAAATAAAAACCAAAGAGTCATTCTACCATATACTTTATTTTTAGCCCTTTCTAATGAGATTCTTAGTCTAAAGGCAGGATATACATCACAGTCATTTTTATATCCTACAGAACATGTAGTATATTACCTTATACATAGTGGGCACAAAATAAAATTCATTAAAAAAAAGAAAGTATGTTGCAGTATTATTGAGTCATGTACATCATGTATTTTATCATATTTTATCAATATGCTGGTCCTATTTCTAACTATATCTGTGCTCATCATTCCAGTTAAAGTAACTTTGGGCAAAGAAATCTATACCCATCATACTCTAATAAACATCTGTGAGTTTCGCTGCCCAGCCTCCATTCACCTTCCAAACACGATATCCCCATGCGTCTAAGGAGCCCCCCCCCCCCGCAGTCACCTCTTCCATTTTAGTTGGTAGTGTGTGTCCCTGTCCCCTCCCTGTCCTCCTCCCACTCCAACCCTGAATGAGGGCTGGACATGTAAGCTGGGTCAAAGTAACACATAACACAGTTCCCTGGCTACAATGATTTTTTTTCTTTCTTTGGATTGGGCCAGTGATCCAATTTGGGGCTAATAACATGATGTTTTTTTCTGTTGTTATTGTTTTTGTCTGTTGTTATTGTTTTTCTCCTGAAATTTTTGAGATGTTCTAAAGTGACGGTTGCATCATTTTCCTTCATTTGAATTTGAGAAAATAGAAAGTCTAAAGCTGGTTCTGTGATCTTGAATTCATGAGGAGAGATGTTAGGGAATGGAGTCCATGCAATAGAGATAGAAAGAGAAGAGGAGAAAGGGAAGGAAAAGAGAGAGGGGTGGAAAGAGGGAAAAACAAAGAAAGAGAGGAAGGGGGATGGAGGGAGGGAGAGAGGGTAAGGGAGAAAGAGAGAGAGACACAGGACAGAGACAGAGACAGAGAGAGGCCTAGACAATGGTTGAACCTGCTTCTAGAGGACAGTGTGACAACACATATGTTTCTTATGTGGGATGGTATTTCCATTCCCATTTCACCTAAGGAATTTGGGTTGGTTTTCTGTCACTTTCAACTCGTGTGGTTTTTGTTTGTTTGGTTGGATTGGTTGTTTGATTTTTAAGATAGGGTCTCACTATTTTGTCTAGGTTGGCCTCAAACTAGAGAGCCCCCTGACTCAGCTTCCTTAGTACGTGGTATTAAAGGCATGTATGTACTACCATGACCAGCTGTCAATTCATTATTTTTAACTTATAAATGTCCCAAACTCCACTTATCTGTTCATAATGTCACAGCTTATTATAGTAGTATACACACTATGATAATTTGAATGCTCCAGAGGGAAAATGAGTGATTGTCAATTGGAGTTTTAGTGTATATAACATTAAATCATCAGATATTTACTGAATCCCTATTATCTGTCATTCCACAAAGAATACTGAAAACATACACCAACCTTACAAAATCAACAACTAAAATTGCTTCTCAGACATGTTTTTTCCCTGCCTTTAGGGTTGGATTTTTGTCACAAATATAACAAGAGGCCTTTGCACTTCCTATGGAAGAGTTTTCCATAAATAATAAATTTCTTCATTCATATATAATATTAAAATCACCTTTAAAAATAAAAATAGAGGAAATAATGACATTCATTTCTGATTTCCAAATAAGTCTCATTTTACGTATTCAAATAACATTGACAAAATTCCTCAGAACTTTTTCTTTTTTTAAGAAACATCAGTTTTTGTCATTTACCTTGAAGTTCAGTTGGTCTTTACTATCTAAAGAGGCACTGAATACATGTCTTCTGAAATGATAAGCGTGTTTGGGCTGTGTGGAGCCCAAAGTTGGCAGTTTCTAGCAATATGGGTACTAAGATCGTACAGGCAGTAACTCAGCATAGCCCCTGCTGTGTGCCGTCAGCAGGACAAGCAACTTCCACTCTGGATCCACTCTTGGCCCAAGCCCACTGAGTTGCCCATTGATGTCTTTGAATAAAACCACACTTTGTCTGTAGTCTCAAAAATTAGCACCTAATAGGATTCAGGTCATCTTCCAGTTTCCAATTGTCAACATGGCACGTTAGGAATGCAGAAATTCTTGTCATTTAAGGAAAAAAAATTT